ATCATTAGTCTCGATCAACCAACGTATTTATTCAATTTGTTGTATTAACAGCATGGACAGGAGAACGCGAGTGAAATAAATCAAACACGGAAAGCTTTTGCCCATTACGGCATTTCATTTCACCTCGATTGAGTTGTACACTCACTGGGACGGAAGGGGGAAGGAGTGATGACGGATGACGGAGTACAGTTCAAAACATGATCTCATGCGAAATGAAACGGAAAAAATACAATAGCACCACGTTTTGCAGATCATTAAGCGGAACGTTTAAACCACTAGGCAAATCGATCTCTGGTTACGGTTTATTATCCATAGACGAACTGTTCTGACTGGGAAAACGGAGAACAGCCGGCAGATAATAAACTTCATTGTTTTACTCTAACCACTCTCTGAGTACCCATGAAGAAATGTGTTAACACATTCCTGTCCTCGTTGCGCTTTGTTCCGTCCCACACTCAAAACAAATGCGTTCAAGTTCAACGCGTTTCAGTTCAGTCCACTCAGCAGTCCGCCGGATGGAATCGGTCATATGTAGGAGCAACGAATGATTGATAAAACCCATCAGACATGCGTTGGGAGATCAACCGGCCCTTCGTTCCCCGGTTTGGTGTACATAAACAAATAACATTACTATTTGTCAGAGAATCGCGTTTGACGAGCAAGTTGTTAAGGAGCGCATATTGTTGGAAAAATAGCAACTTATTAGAGTCAACTGAGTTGGGTTAATCCGATGCAAATTTCATGAATCTAAGTATCCGAGAGTTTATAGATGTCTCACCGGCGTGATCTTTTTATCGGTGAAGAATATGTGAGTAACGATCTGCAATAAACGAGGGGAGGTCTGCTTGTAGGAATGTTAAGTGGTAAGTACCTATTTGTCACTCTGCCGGGACTCGAACTGTACACAGTTGGATCGAGGAAAGAAACCATTCTTCTTCTTGAGGTATACAATCAGCATCAAAAGCATGGAGTACATCATCAACGAACAGTAATCAGTGAACTAAAGGGAAAATATGATTAAATCAATTTTCACCGGGTATAATCAATGAAAAAAAATTTTTTAAGTACTTTTTGTACCTTAGATCCCAGAAACACTGTTTAGGTGTTGCATAGAAGTTCGAATGTACGGAAAAATCCTCTCAAATCATTCAATCAACTTTTTAAGAAAACTATTCGATTATTCTTTTATCATATGATGACAAAGTGATTGGTGGCGATCTGGGAACCCGTGAGAACACAACTCGCTAATAACACAATGAAGGATTTATATGATTGTAGACAATGTAAACGGATTACTCATGATGTCAGTTTCTTCTTTACAAATTTTTCTATTGCCGACAGTATTAAACGCATGTGTGGCCACAAACAAAGCAATTATTGTCAAATCGGAACACCAACTGGCGATCTCAAACAACTACCCTACTTTTGCTCTCACACAACACAATACAAATTCAATGACGGCTTTTATCATCAACTGGATGAGATATAAATAGGATCTCCTCTACGTTCCCTGTTCGCAGACTTCTTCTTAGCGAAGCTGAAGAATACGATCCTCAAACGAACAATCTATCGTTGCGCATTTTACAAGCAATATGTGGACGACATTTTGAGCCTGGTTGATGACCGCGTGACTTTTTGCAAGATCCTTAAAGTAATTAACTCACATCATTTGAACATAATGTTTACTCAAAAGAAAAGAAAATAATGAGCAGAATGCGTTTCTGTACGTTATCCTAATTCGTGGATCAGATTGAACTATCCAACGCGCCATCCGCAGGAAGCCATCGTGGAACAATCAGTATATCCATTTAAGAAGCCATGTATCACGCTAGCACGGCACAGAGAATATGTACAGACGATATCATTGAGCCTAAACTGTGATTTACTCGAAACGTTTTCCTTCAAAACGGATACCCAGAAAGATTTGAGGGCAACATTTTGATGTGTGATCAGTTGCCAAATAAGATCACTTCTGTTGAGAATGAACCGGTTTAAAGAACACTAACGTTCAAGAGATGGTGACATGTAAACTGTAAGAAGAGCATTCATCACCGCAAAACTTCGCATTGTGTTTACCTCCAGACCAATGTTTCGATTCAACTTACAGACAGCTTGCCTGTTTGTGTAGACTGTGTTTGTGTGCATTTTTTCGTGTGGGACAATGTGTATTAGCCGCATGAACAGACGTTAATCTGAACGAGTCCATAGGCACCATCCGACTTAATTGAACAGTGGAGTGATAAGGACTTTCAACGTTTCGATTAATGGAACCAAGCCACGTGGTCAGTTTGGCAGAGGCCCTTCAACCCGTCTACTTAGTTCGCAGCAGTCACTCAAAGTTGATTGAAGGTCGCATTCTGACCACAGCAGAAGCGATCGGAATCCGACTACATACTGCCTTACGCTCCGAATCGAATTGTTAAAACACTCGATCTTCCATGGTCATTCATCATCCGCACGTATTGACCCCAACCCATTCGCCTTTGTGATCACCAAAGTGTGAGCAACATCAGGTCTCGGAACTAGGATGTTGATTGTTTCTTTCCCATTTGATCACGATCTCACTTCCCCTACTAAACATTTGGATGTAAATTTTTATGTTTAGCCTACAGATGAATCATTGCCAACGAGGTGCTGCACTGTTGTTTTTCTTTCAATGTAAAATGCCAATTCATTCGGACACTTATAAGAGTCCTCCAGTACTTGAAACATCCTATCCAGATTTCAGAATCCCTCGCAGACATAGGTGCCACCAGTTTCCTCACCCCGAATATTTTGTGATAATCAAGGCATGTACGTTCTGTTGTCACAAACTGTCAGTTCCGTACATCCTCCGACAGTCAAGGAAAGTCTCTCTTTTCTATTTGAACTCTAATATTAGGGACTGTCATTTGTTATTAATATATTGGTAATGTATCTCCTGGTTTGGTAAGTTAACGGAACCCTGACATTACTCAATCAGTTAAATAATAGACTGTTGGTCTAAAGTAGTTTTAGAACACACGAGATAATCAACTCAAATGTATCCTAACGTCCGTTGCTTAATGCTAAAGTCAATTTCTAACAGAACATGCAAATCGAACTTGTTATACAGACGCATTTGACGATTGTTTGACATTTACCTGAAGCGAATTCGCCCTGAACAACGGAAATGAAACACACTCTCCGTTTGCGGGATATATCCTGACTATACCCCGAGAATGATTTCACCGTGCCAAATGGTCACTTTACTAGGAAAGAATCATATGTGCCATGGCAACCTGGTAACAGATAGTTCAATCCAAACAGCTAACAAAGTTGGTTTGTTGTTGATAAGAGGCCGATAAGTAGCTTAAAAAGTAAATCGACTAATGAAAAAAAACGCCATGCTAGTTATCATTCATCTTGCAGTTTTGGGGATGCAAACCGGGGTTCCTTGCATTATACGTGTTTATTGATTTACACATACACATACGTGTCGAACTTTGTGTGCAATATCCTGTTACTCCAGCACTATCTACAATCTGGTACAGTTTTAACGAATCGAATGTAAAAACCCCACCGTCGAGTTCGCATACATTTTGTCCATTTTACCGGGTGAGATGGGTAGCTTACACTGCTACGAATTGCTATGAACAGACAATTTTCCTCGTTTTTCAGCTACCGTTGATAGGGGATCCGGATCAGGAAATCATAGTGCGTGTAATTAGTTCCCGAAGTGACTCATTCACTCCAAGACTAGGGCGGAGAATGAAGTTTGACCACGATGGGTAGTCATGCATAGCAGCAGCAGTAGCAGAAGCAGCAATAGCATAGCTCCCAGTCCGGACTATGCAATCGTTCCGCCTGGGTGTGATTAGGAAGCAGACATCGGTATGAACAAGGGGTGGGGGATAGACAACTTGGACACCCTGAGAGGAGTAGAAAATGTGTCGTTTCGTGACTCATAGCCTTGCTTAACAAGATAATTGAACCCCTAGCATAAAACTGGGTAGCCTTTCCTATTCCTCTGAATTAACCTTTTTCCACATTCAATTAGATGAGCTGTACTCTACTAAACATGAGGTGGCATGTGGAAGAAGATTGGCAGCTACAACTTTATGATGATCCAGCAATTTTCTTGAACCGAGCGCACATGACTATCTATCCTCAGACGGTTTTGGAATCATGAGTTTAAATTGGATTCAAATAGGTAGCAGCTGATCTGAATAAAACAAACTGGATGAGTATCAGCATCAAGTTGACTCAGCGCTGACCAACGTAACATTGATTTAAAATTCGACAGTTACAGTCCATAAATAGGGAAGAGGTTTTATTTAATCTGCATTTAGATTGTATTGCAGAAACGACTCACAATGGTTATTATTGAGCGATTAAATTTCCAGTTAATTTTACTATTCGCTCCGCGATGTGGGTCAAAAGTTGAAAAGCTTGCTCAGCAATGCTCAGTGCCCCGATTTTAATAGTACAATCGGTTTAGCCGGCTGGAGCTAATGCGTAAAATTGGTATTTGTTTTAGCGTATGCGTAACACGCTTAGAATGCTTTTCCTTCATCTCATGATCAGTGCGCATTACAGAACGGGAGATTTTGTGAGAGACGTCGGGCAACAAAGAAGTCAAACACCTGATTCCTCATGCTCGTTACTCATCAGTAATGTGCAATATCTGTCTACTCACTGGATTGAAAAAACTAAAAGTATTCGAAAATCCATACAGGCCATGGAAGAACAGATACGTTTCTCAACGGCAGCTTGTTCCGATGAACCAGTTCAGTGAGCGCAAATTAGACATCTAGTCCGTTGTCATCAAAGCCCCTTATTTCCTAATTCCGAGATTTGTCCTACACAGTGTGCATTTTGTTGATAAAATACAACTGTGATTTCAGATTAAATGATTTGGACGGCACTGATTTGTCTTGGTCTAATGACATACATCATTTCTGATAATTTAAACACAAAACAATATCTAATCATCTTTTGCATTTTTGACTAATGAAAATTACAAGCTTATTTGGACACATTTACCTGAAAATATATATCACCAACAGTTTATTTTTGAAGTGAAATTCCTCAGACTCACCGGCAATCAACAGGAGAACTTGGCAGGTGCGGTGCACTCCGACCATGCTCAACACAGCCAAATAACATCCGGATAGGAGAAGAAAGAACGTGAGAAATACCAGAATGATTGAAGCGAGCACAAGCAGCGTGAGACCGACTTGCCAGGCAATGTGAGGGATCAGTGCAAACTGGTAGTGTCCACAAGTTGAACGAAGATGAATCAAATCCGCTCGTGGTTTACTGGTCATCGTAGTCTGTCCGGTTGGTGCATCTTTCGAGCGGACCGAGCTGATTGTTCGGGGATCCGGCCCGGCCTGCACGTAAACCGGGTAGACGCAGCGACGATATAGACCCAAACTGCTGGACATGGAGTACGTATCCATGCCCAACTCGATCAAAAGTTCCGTTTGCAAGCTCTGTGCACTCACCTGTACAGAGCCTTTCAACCAGGATGGAACAAGACATCCTGTCAGACAGAGCAAAGCGGATGTGCAAGTGAGTAGGGACCACGTGAGCCAAAACGTCCACATTGAGACGTGACTGAAGATATTAGTTATACGTCACTCCTACAGTCAATCACATGACGCACAAGCGTTTTCGTAGGTACTACGACAAGTCCGATGTTACTCATATGCGATGTGCGATAATAGTTTTCCTTTGAGTGGGACGAGATAAACAATGTTCATCCACAGTAAGCTTTTGCAGTGTGACACTGAATGTTCTGTACTTCCAATTTTTCTCACTTCCGGACTGTTTCTCTCGATTTTCTAATCGTCCACTCCGGAACGTAGCAACAACCACACAAAAAACCCTGCAATTCAGTTCAACCTATGCGTGAGGTACGTGACGGCAGTCACTAATGCACCAATCAGAGGCATGCATGATGTGGGTGTGTGCACCTATGCGCGCCTTTGGCATGTCTGCGAAATACATCACGGCCGGAATGGTCACACCAGTGCAAGAGTGAGTCTTGAACAGTGAACCTCGAAACCGGAAACAGCATTGTTGCTAGCAGTATGAATNTCTTGAACAGTGAACCTCGAAAACGGAAACAGCATTGTTGCTAGCAGTATGAATGGTTATGATTTGAGAGTTAGAAACTCTTGAAAACAAACACTCTAAGATGTGAAAAATGGTCAGTAAAACAGGAAATGTTGACGCAGAAAATAATCTGTTCGTCTTAGTTAATTTTTGGCACGATTAGTTCCAAATTTAAAAGCAGTTTGTGCTTTCTCACCTTTATTGCAATAACCCGTTTTCCCATAGGAGTAACTATTGGAATCTTCTCACTATGTGACTTCAGTGTGATGTGTTTTGGACAGGTCTTAGCGAGTTACGTGTGGCTGATCTTAACAACCACTATGTTAAGACCAAGTCGTGATCACGTCACAATGAATGGCATATGAATTCAGTTCAGTTCAGTTTGTAAAACCATTAACCGTGCACGATCGTGTTATAGTTTTGGTTGCTGTTTTTTCACTGCCCATTTCGATGAAGCAGCAGGAGAAAGTTTCACTTGGGCAGAAGATCGGTTTCTTGGCTGTTATCATTAATTAGGACTAATGCGGAAGTTTTGTACGTATAATCTTAAAGAATGAAGCTTACCAAATAGGCGGATTATGCCCCATCAGGCTAAACAGTTTCGAAATCCTTCATTTTGCTCCCGTTTTGCAAGGTGCATCAAGTGTGCCCTATTGCTCTCAATAACGTTTCCTCTATAGCACACACAGTGGGATTTATGACTTAGACCTTTTTATTCACAAATTCGCGCAGCATGGTGAAGAAGCCAAATTGCCACTTTAAAATCCCATCGACAGGTTAATCGATAACTGAATATAAATGCACAACAAGACAAAGTGCGAATAAAGAAAATTGAGCGAAAACGATATGTTTAATGTGTCTATTTACTCACAACTCGTTGAAGCTAACTGGTCCGTGAACGCGACAGACGAGTGATCTCGTAGTTGCGTAGTCCAAAGTAAACCATCCAGAGCAATGAAATACCGGATTCTGGATGCGAAATATTCGATTGTTTGCTGTGTGCGAATTCATTCATCCCTTGGAATGTGCCTGGCCCGAAGGTGTGTGATCATTTAAAGAGTTCATATTTTGATCAATTCCACGTACGTGAACTCACCCATATGTTGTGAGACTAAGACTGGTTTCACAAGCTAACGTAACCACATGTGACTACTTTCTCAAAACCGAAAGATGACATATCGTGAATTGTTAACGTTTTGCATGATACCCTCAATCGTGTATATAAAATAAGCTGTTACCTTTAATTGGTGGGGACCATTATTATATTTCGCCATATACGTCTACCATTGATTATACTGCGGCAGGTACAGTTTTTCAAATGGGTCTTCATTACGCATCCTCTTACAGCGGTGTTTGCCCAATGCGCTGGTTGAGTACTGGAAACTTCGTTTTGTTAAACTGACTCAATTAGCATTGGATACCATTCAACAGAATGAACGAAGCCTTCGGATACTCAACTCGTTCCGAGTCCCCAAGCACTACCTTTATGCTAAACGATTACTTTTTCTATGAAATGTGTATAACATTCCACTTCGCCTGTTCGCCGAGCTTGGCAATTTGTTTGCAAACGTTTCATCACCAGCCGAGGTGACATCATCAGTGCTTATGAAGTGGCCTCATTGGTTGAGTTTAAAATCTACGAAGGATGCATTAATCAATTAGTGGATGTCATAGCCGCATGAAATTTAGGAGGGACCTAAAATAGCACGAGGAATCAATTTGCATTGTAATCTGCTTTCAAACAGACAGTAGACAACGCGAAAATTTATTATCGCTTATCGCTCAGAACACAATCTGAGTGCAATGTCACTTTTCACTGAGCCAACAACATCAGACACTTAAAACATTGTGAATTTATAATATTCCTTTAAATTATTTACAGGTACCAGGCACTAAGGATGGATTTTGATGGGGGTTTCATTCCTTGGGAAATCATCAATTTGTGACGATTGACAAAAAGCACTGGCGAACTGTTTTGTTCTGTTCTAGACTCGTCAACAGTGCATACAATTGGTGGCCCTATTAGAACTCGAATTCGGACCTCTAACCCCACCCTTGTAATATTGTTCCTAATTTTCTAACAACCACACTCTTCCGCTTCAGTATGCAATTGCGTAGTCAATTCTTTGACTATAAAAAACAGTACAAGAATTAACTGTAGTGCTACATTGAAAACAAACAGTTTTGTGCTGCATCAATCACAACTTACGTATTCTGATCAAAAAAACTTCATTTCATACCAACTCATTGCTCATCAATTTAAACCTGTTGATCATGTAATTTCTTCATTGAGGATTTCGGTTTTAGAAGTTTATTCATATAACTAAGAAAGATAAAGTTCAGTGGTTTGTACTGTGATCCTCAGTATTATGGACAGATGTAATCAACTATGATTTGTAATCAATTTATCATTGTTTCGGTCCATTTACTCGGTTTGTATTCTTCAAATAATTAAGTATGCATGTTAAAATTGATTTGAAAATTTAAACATGATAGATCCTGTGCATATGATAATTCGTCCCTCAAATTTCAATGTGAGGCGGCAATTAGTCTGCTGTGAGGCAGGCTTACTCGTAGCACATGAGAATAAATTGACTGATCAGAAATGCACACATCTTATGCCGCCCCAGATTTGCATTATTTGTTAGACCGATTCAGTTCAATGTGCACTTTAAAAGAAATGTGTTAAACAAGCGTATATCTGTCGAAAATAAGGCCTGCGCAACAAACGCACCACACTCGCTCGTGGAGTTCTATAGGCCTCCCACTGTGAAGCCCCGCAAACAGGGCTGCCACTCACGTTTTTCAACTTCATGAACTTTCCAGTTTGCTGCGCTGCGCGATCGCGTAGTTGGCAAACCGTTGTCATTTGTTTGTCTTCTCCTGCATCTGTTTACTTTACAATCGTCATCTGGTCAGACCACAGTTGCAGGCCCCGCTGTCGCGTGCAGCACCTTCAAAGTCAGATGTTTGAAAAGGCATGAGCACTGACAGAAGTCCGGCTTTGATAATCAACTAATTTCGAACGAAGGTTGGAAGTATGAAGAAGAGTTAACTCCGTAAAACGTTTTACAATTTTTACCAGTTCCTAACTTGAGAGTATTTTGCCTGGTATCAATATATCTTTCTATTTCAACAGCCAGACAGTTTCGGCTTTCTGAACACGTGACAAAAGTTCGTTGTGTTGTGATGCCTATCAATCGATTAGGCAAAACATAGGTTTATCTTGGCTACATCATTACACGGTTTTGCGTTTTGAAATCCGATAACGACCGAGACACATGCTGAAATGTGCATACCCAAAATTAGGATGTTTCGTAAATTAAGGTAATATAATGAATAGTTTGCTCGTAAAAAGCACCTTTTTGTGACAATAATGTAAATTGATAGCCTTCTATCTCCTGTTACTACCAAATGTAAATACCGCAAAATGATCGATTAAATAACCGCAGAACTGGTCAGTCACTTTGTAATCTTTATTCGATAAGACATGCGCTACTTGTTCATTGGGTGATTTCCCATGGTCTCCATGGTCCAAACGTGACACTGAAGATGCCGAAAATGTGGGAAGCCCTCTGCTTTCGAAAAATATTTGCAATATAATACGAATAACGGAGCCAGCCAGTGCTTTGTTAGTGGTCGCCTTCATAATGACCATACAGGAATGTATATTCAACTACCACGAAATGAGGCTTTAGTTCGAATGTTGTAGGCAAAATATTAGAGTAAAATGATCTGGTACTGACATCAAATCAGTTGCAAACATTTGTTTTCTAAGGTAACACGCGTGAGATGAATAAAATCGTTAAAGACTTCATCAACGATAGCTGCGTTCATTTGGAATGATTTCATTCTGTTATTGTTATTCTTATTGTCAAAACATCATCCTTGGCATCACGCGAACACGCAAAGTGTAAGATTACGGTAAGATGTTGTAGACTGCTTTTTCATTACCACCGCTTCCGGGTAGCACTGCTCATTTCGCGCTTCGCATCATTTTGATCTAAAGAAAAACGAGCAAAGCAACACGACATGGATCGCTTTTTTAGCAAACTCTTGTTTCGATGTCTCCAAAAAAATAAAAATGTATAATAACTGAATGATAGCAATTGGGAGGAAAGTTAGTTTCGGAAGAGTCGTAAATTAACGAAACCGAGTATTAACTGATCAGATTAAATCATAGAACCTTTTCAAATGAGTTCTTTTTAAATCCGCATTTTACATATTTAAATTGTCTTTCGAGGTTCATCAGATTTCATTACATCACCATCTATAGGCACACATTCATTTTATCATTGTTGTTTTCAATTATAACCCCTCCCCACGTGTATGTGATGGTCGTACAAAAAACAAACAGCTTGCACCTGGTGCTTATAAGAATACAAATATTGTGTTCCAGTCAAACTATTCAAAACCTGTTCAATGTCTGTAGACTGACAATTGAAAGCACGCATTTGGAAAACCAATTGTTTTTATACGAAAGCTTGAT